TAATTGGAGAGTAGAGTTTCAGATTTGTCTGCCTGAGCTGGCTTCGAATCATGATTCTCAGATTTCAGCTTCCTGAGTTGCTAGGTTTATAAGCGTGAGCCAGAGGCATCCAGTTTAGAATATGTTTCTCTCCCCCTCCCCCTCCCCCCTCCTCTTCCTCCTCCTCCTCCTGTTGTTGGTCATGTGGCTTGAATTCTCAGCCTGGGTGCTGCTGTCCCTGAATCCTGCAGCTCAAGGCTACCACTCTACTTCTGGTTTTCTGGTGGTTAATTGGAGATAAGAGTCTCGTGGACTTTTCTTCCCTAGGCTGGCTTTGAACTGCTATCCTCAGATCTCAGCCTTCTGAGTAGCTAAGATTACAGGCATGAGCCACAGGTGCCTGGCTAGAACATGCTTTCTTTCTTTATTATTTTAAAATTTTTTTATTATCTTTAAGTGCTTGTACAAAGAAGTTCCCATTTTACAAAACAGTAATGGACACAAAGTGTTTGATAACATTGTCACCCATCGCTCCTAACAATGTTTTCTTAGACATAGTTTATAATCACTGTAGGGGAATATCTTAAGATAACTCTCCTAGAAACTATCTCTCTAAAACTATTTCTGCTAGAAAGCCAATGTCTCATTAAGGAACATTAAACTAGCTAAGTTTATTTTTCTGGAACAGATCAAGTGTTTCACAGAACACCCAGACTTCCCTAGTTATTATATGCTTACTGGTGCAAGGCCAGTGAACAGGACTCTAGTCAATAGAGAAAGAACAATTCCATTCTATTCTCTTTCCCTAATGGGTTAAAAAAAAATCTCACCATTTGGTAATGGTCTAGATAAAACAAATTATTTACATTTTCACTTGCATAGAGCTTGAGGAGAAATCTTAGTCCAAGTTTTCTTTAGCTACAAAGCCATTTTTGGGTTAATCTACATTTTTTTTATTTTTTAAAATTTTTATTTTTATTTTTCAAAATTTTTATTGTGAAAATACCGTACAGAGGGGTTACAATTACATGGGCAAGATAATGAGTACATTGCTTATCAAGCACTGTTGCCTCCTCCTTTGTTTCCTTTTCCTTTCCCTTCCCATTCCCCTCACCCCCAAAATTTATTTTATTTTGTTGTAAAGGTGCTTTATACAGGGTTACAGTTACATAAGTAAAATAATGAGTACATTTCTTGTCAAACAAGCCAATATTGTCAGTGATTTCTATGTGCTGGATACTGTTCTAGGCTGATAACCTGAGAAAAGTCTGTTTCTTTTATGTTTTTTCGTCTTTAAAAATATTTTTTATTGTTATTAAAAAGGTGATGTACAGATGGGTTACAGTTACATAAGACAGGTAATGAGTACATTTCTTTTGAACAGTGTTACCTCTTCCCTCCTTTTCTCACAGTTTTCCCCTCTAACCCTCCCACAAGTTGTATAGTTCATTTTCAACATAGAGTCTAGTGAGTATCTCGGCTGCATTTGTTCACCCTTTGTCCCACTATTTCTGTGTTTCTCTTTACTAACTCCCCCAAACAGATAAACTTACATATAAGACAAAATGTACAGAAAAAAAAAGTGATGAGAGAGAAAAAAAGCAAACTAACAATCGCTCTTGTTATGAATCCACTCTAGTTTCCCAGTGTATTTGGTTATTTTTCAGTCCAAGGGTTTAAATGTACTATTTTTAGTATTGTTCCTTCCAGACTTGTTTTTGATTCATGTAGTTTACATTTCCAATCCCTACACTATTGTACCCTAAAGATATACTGCTCTGAGTTCCCCCCTCTTTTTCTGACCTTTCCATAGAGAAAGTTTTAAACTGACAATGTACAATAGATCCGGTTTGCAGTGGTATCTAGGACACAACTTACCAAGTAGATATGCTGGGCAACTCAACCTGGCAATTTTTTTCAGGGTTGAAAATAAATAATTTTTTTTTAGTGGAGTTTTTTTTTAGAGGAGTTAAAAATTGGCTATTTTGTTTATTTTTTCTCCCTCTCATTCACCTGCAAATTGTTAACTAAGCATCTGTTTTTAGAAGCTTAGCATGATTAGATTTCCAAGAACTATGCAAAGAGGTTGTTCAATAATAAAATCTTGAAGTTCTAAAACACAGTGGTCTCCTTGAATACATAACGCATTATAAATTCTAAAAAGAATTTATGACACTACAGGATAAGAGGTATTGATTCAATAATAAAGTTGTGCTCAATTAGGTACAGAGGGAGATTTCCATTAGTGTTAGTCTTCTGTGACAACTGTTAGGAAGAATTTGAAGCACCAATGGAAAATCCCCGAAGTTCCTTCATAGGAAGCTAGCCCCAACAGTCTCAGTTTCTTATAAAGAAAAAGTAAAAATAGAATGCCCCACCAGGTGGCAGTATCTGCAAGTAGTTTTACAGTCTCACATTAACTCACAATTTGTATCCAGCAGCATACACATAATATGCATTTCTGAGGTCAAAATTCCTACCAGCAAAATTCCAAGTCAGAGACTGTGTTTCTTTTATTGTGACAACTACTGAAAAAATTGATCTCCAAATTTTTTTTTCTATCTGATAGGGAAAAAGATTTTAAAAAATATACAATAAAGGGAAGTCTTTCTCTCTCTCCACACACACACACACACACACACACACTCACACACACACACATTGCTCTGACTTACTCTTCCATGTGTAATATAGAGTAATTCCTCCATAAGTAGCAAATTTTGGTAGTCCAGCCCTATCTGTTTCTTTGCCATGGGGAAAGCATTCTCTGGGCTCCACTATTTTCTCCTTTTTCATGGTTTAACTAGTTTGACCAGAGAAACTGGCTTATAAATTACAACAATCATTTTACTTGAAGATTTATAAAATAGCTTAATGTCTGTTTCAAGCTTTAAGTAACATAGATCAAAGATAGGAGGAAAAAGTGTTCATATAGAATTCCAGAAATCCTTCCCTTTCCTGATATGACAGTGTATGAACTGGTGTGCTAGTAGCAAGTTGAATTTATTTCCATGTGGCTACTAGATGAATCAAGAGCTCTCAGCAGGAAACTAATATGACTGATCTTAGTTTTCTCCTTAATACTTATTCACCTCACAAAATTGCTGTGAAAATAGTGACTGTGATGGGGATAGCAATAATATTTTGAATAGTGACTAATAACTTTCAAAGTATTCTAATACATGTGATCTCTTTTGAACTTTATTATAACATCGTATGGTATGCCAGAAAAGCAGTTTTGTCATAGTTTTTCATGAAAAAGAAACCAAGACACTGACAAAGTTTGGAAACAATATAAACAAAACTTCCTTTGTGAGGTTGGAAATGTAATAGGAAGGACAAGAAATACAAATGTTTCCGGGCAAGGAAATGTAGAAAATAGCCCTGTATATATAGTAATTTTCCTCCCTGTATGCCTAAGGATATTAACTAGAAAGAAAAGGTATTTTGATGACCAACCCTTCTTCCTCACATTTCCACATAAACTCTGTGTATATAGTTGCAGAGAAAAATATAACCACCAGAAAATAATACACCAGTATGTGCATGATTTATAAATGTATACACTATACATGTTGAGAAATCATGCAAAATCACTGCTTTTATATGGAAATTCAGCTTATTCAGGTCCACTGACAATAAAGTATAATATCTTTCTTCTGTGGGCCTTGATTGGTCCACCACAGTACTGCATTTCACCAATAGGCCTGGTAAAGAAAATGTACCATGATATAATCCATGTGCGGAGGCAAGTCTTTTTATGAATTAATTGTTGTACCTACTGAAACAGGTGAAATAGCTCTTTATCTGCTGTTGGACTAATTAATTATTAAATTATGATTACTTGTACTTGATGCAACTACTTACTATGAGTATAGAGATTAAAGGATGTGGTAGGATACAGGGAAAAGGCCAAAATAACAGTAGCCAACTCAGCTCTTTGTACAGAAGTGGGATAGAATTTGCCTAGTATGGATGGAACCATCAACATTAGCAGCAGCAATTTCTTTCTTGGATCTGTCAGTAGGCACGAAGGGCAGAGGAGAGGAAAAAATAATTTGGGGGAAGATAAAGGGAGTAGTCTTAAAAATTTGTCAAAGTATATTGGGAGGATAATGTGAGGAAACAGAGCCAGGAAAGTCAGCCAAAGCCATTTGCCAGGGCTGCGAGGATTGTAGAGCTATCGAACCTGTAAGTTGGTATAAGGATAAATGATGAGATCAGCTCTTGTCCCAATAATGGGCCAAGTCTCTGTCATCCCTTTAAAATTATCACGCTAATTAAATGGTGATATAATTAAAGGACTCAAGTTCCAGATGTAGGGAGTAGTAACCAATTTATTGGCCCTTGTGGTTGACAAATAAGCCCAGTGGGAGTATAATCTGTGGGCAAAATAACAAAATAAACAGGTTTATTAAAGTTAATAGGGCTACGTGTGTCACTTTATTAATTAATTGTAAAGCCTTTTGAGCATTAGGAGCCAGCTTCTGGGGGGAAGTAGTATCAGAAGGTCCCTGAAGAATATTAAACAGAGGTTTAAGGTCTCCAGTGGTTAATTTTAGACTAGGTCTAATCTAATTAATGTCTCCCAACACTTTTTGAAAATATTTTTATTTTTTGGTTGTGAACTCTGGGCCTGGCCACTGTCCCTCAGCTCTTCAGTCCAAGGTAAGCGCTCTACCACTTGAGCCACATCACCATTTCCAGTTTTCTGGTGGTTAATTGGAGATAGGACTCTCACAGACTTTCCTGCCCAGGCTGTCTTTGAACCAGGATCCTTAGATCTCAGCCTCCTGAGTATCTAGGATTACAGGTCTGAGCCACTGGCACCTGGCTCAGTTCAGGTTTTTAAATGATCAGTTTTCAGTACAGGCAATTAAGAGTGAATTGGTTTTCCAGTTATAATATGGCCTAAGAAATAAAAAGAGACATAGTTTGACTTTTTTCATCAGCAATACATAGTCATGCAAGAAAAAGATGCTGTTGGCAGACGCAGGCGGACACGGAACTGTAGTTAGTGTTGGCTCCGCGGCGGTGCAGCATCTGTCCAAGATGGCAGTGGTGGAAGAGACACTGAAGCGACTTCAGAGCCAGAAGAGAGTGCAGGGCATCATCGTGGTGAGTCCAGAAGGCATTCCTATCAAAGGCACCATGGACAATCCCACCACTACACAGCACGCCAACCTCATGCATAACTTCATCTTGAAGGCTCTGAGCACTGTGCGTGAAATTGACCCCCAAAATGACCTGACCTTCCTTCGAATTCGTTCCAAGAAAAATGAAATTATGGTTGCACCAGATAAGGACTATTTCCTGATTGTGATTCAGAATCCAACAGAATAGCCACTCTTGGCTCCCCATGTCATTCCTTGATTTAATGCCCTCCAAGAATTATAATGTCAATCATGTCATCTGACCAGACCATAAAGATGACCATAGATCCCTTGTGAAACAATAGAGATCACTGCAGATTCCTCATAAGCCAATTCAGTGACCAAGTGTGGCCTGGCAGCTCCCCTCTACCTTCACCAGATGGAGGAATTCTTCTCCCTTCCCAGCTCCAGTGACCCCAGAGTTCCCAGGAGGGCTCCTCCCCCGCTTCCTGGCTTTGGAGCCTCTGCTTAGGAGAAGCCCACATCCAGCTTCCTTCTGACCTTCAGTTCACAGTTGCTCTTGGAAAAGGTTGTTTTTCTTTAACTAAAAATAACCAAGCCACTTAAAAAAAAAGAAAGAAAAAGATGTTATTGAACAGTAAAAAACAGGTGCTGCAACAATTCCAGGTTGGAACGAGCCAATCAGATATCTAGTAATAGTATGTGCACACCACATAGAGGTTCCCTCAGCCTGACTTTGACCTATAGCCTCATTTTCGGGTCCTTGTTTAGCACCACTTGCCGGTTACTACAATACTACTTCAGAACCTGAGAGAAACTGGTAGGGGATTAAGGAGAAGAAAGACAGACCAAAGATGGGGTTGGAAGGACCAAGTAGGTTGAAAACCTAAATGGCCATGATCTTTATTTGTCACACAGTATTACAGTCACACAAGCAGAATATTGGCTTCCCATCCTCAGGAAGCCCAAAAGTTCAGTAACTGCTTAAGATAAATTGTAGACAGCGGTTTTCCTGAGAACACAAACATTTCTATCTATACACAGCATGGTTAGAACAGAAAGTCTACTTAGTTGAAAGCACACCAGCCAGCACAGGGTATTACTGAATGCAGAAGGGCATGTGACCAGTACCAAGAGTTGGTCCCTGGCCACACTCAGCAGCTGTAGGACCCTGTGTGCAGCTTCAGTAGCTCCATGCCTTTCATTCTCTATGTGACAGAATTTGAACCATCATGTGAAGCATACTGTAGTTCTTATTCTTTAGTTCCAAGTCATAGAAATCCCTGGGGGACAAGCGGGATGGGGGGGGGGGTAGGGGCGGGAAGGAAGGTGAAGACAGTTTATGGTTCTGTGCAGGTGAATTATAATCATTGAATGATTCTCTCTTTCTCTCGTTCCTTCCTATCCCTCATTGGATTTACTTGAAACATCATTATCTCCTACTGCAAAGGAGTTCAGCCACTAATGAAGATCAAGCAGGAGCCTTTCTGCATCTTCTCTAGAACAAGCAGGACCCAGAAGGATTCTCCAAGCTTAGCCTGTACTCTTTTTTACTCTGGTTTGACCACCTGTCTAGTGGTGTGTGGAATGGGGAGACTTGATTTGTTTCTATTTTTATCATGGATAGCTCTTTAGATGCAAAACACTTCAACACAGACTCACTATGTACTTGCAGTCTGGTTTTCAAACTCTAGGTTTACATGCTTTTCAGTTATGTCCTTGTAAATAAAAAAAGCACATTAAGCCCACAGATGCACAGATGCAAAACAATGACTATAAAAATCAGAAGATATTTGGTTAATTTTTTATGCTAAAACTTTTCTGGTAACCTGATTTCGGCTGTAAATGCAAGGCCAGGTTATCAGAAAAAAAATAAAAGGAGTTATACAATGTAATAAATTTCAATCACCTGACATTTTCTTACAAAGGATTGAGATGGAAAGACCACTTCTGCATTGTGGCCAGCAGGAAAGGAAAAGGAATTAGGATGAGAGAAGACACGATTTTTTTCCAGTTCCAGGGCTTGAACTCAGGGCCTGGGTGCTATTGCTGGGCTTTTTTGCTCAAGGCTGGCACTCTACCACTTGAACTACAGATCCACTTTCAGCTTTTTTGGTGGTTAATTGGCGAAGAGTCTCATGGGTGTTCCTTTCCCAAGCTGGCTTTCAGCTACCATCTCCCAGATCTCAGCCTCCTGAGTAGTCTTGTTTTTTTTTAAATGTTACAATTAAATAATTACATTTTAAATTTATTCACATCCTTCTTCTCCATCTCCCTTTCATCCAAGTTTTTTTTTTTTGGGTCTGGTCGTGGGGCCTGAACTCTGGGCCTGGGCACTGTCCCTCAGCTCTTCAGCTCAAGGCTAGCACTCTACCACTTGAGCCACAGAGCCACTTCCGGCTTTTTTCTTTTTGCTTATGTGGTGCTGAGGAATTGAACCCAGGGCCTCGTGCATTCAAGGCAAGCTCTCTACCACTAAGCCACCTTCCCAGCCTTATCCAAGTTTTGAGGATGTACAATTAATTTTGTTTTCTACTCTAAATTTTTGGAAGACTTATGGAAAGATTTCTGTATGAGAGAAAGAATTTGGAAAACTGTCATTGAATTACTGTGTTGACGAAGATTTTAACAATATTTGTGAAAATGCTAGTTTCTTATTCATAATTTATTGAATACCAATTTGGGGGTAGCTTTACACACAACCTTTACAGGCAGAGGACATTTATACTCGGCCTTTCCTTTTAAGAGTAAGACAGAACCTGAATTAATGAGGGTCTTAGTCTGTCCTACTATCTAGCCTGTATGTAAAGCTGGATTATTTCCCTAGACTCTAGTTTAGGAATAACATATTTTACCATGTATATATTTGGACAAGGGAAGATATAATTACACAATTAGTCAAACACTTAATTCTGCATGTTTTCTCCCTGAGTCTTAACTAATGTGTAAGTACCTGCTTGAGAAACGATTTGAATTTTAAAAGACAACTTGTAAAGAGTTATGTAATTCATAGTGGAGAATTAATTGCTGGTTAATTGGAATTGTGGGTACTTTTTGTATGTTTTTTTGCTTAAATCTCATTTAAAAATAATATTTAAGCACTATATCAATATTATAAATTAATATTGCTTTTATCTATTTTTTTGTTGGTTCTGGGCCTTGAACTCAGGGTCTGAATGCTGTCCTTGAGCTTCTTTTGCTCAAGGCTAGTGTTCTACCACTTGAGCTATCACACCACTTCTGGCTTTTTCTGAGTAGTTTATTGGAGATAAGAGTCTCATGGACTTTCCTGCCTGGGCTGGCTTCCAACCACAGTCCTCAGATGGCAGCCTGATTACAGGCAGATTACAGGCAGGAGCCACCGATGTCCGACTTTTTTTTTTTTTTTTTAAGGGAAGAGACTTTATTTCAAAAAGGACCTAAGAATCATTTCACTTATATCCAACTCAATTTAAGATCTTCAATAGTTAAATAAAAAGTAAAATATCCTTCTCTTACTTGCTTAATTTTTGTTTGGCAAAAATCTACTTTTAGCTTCAAATAATACTCAGACTGGGTAGCCTTTCCTCCCCTCTGGATTAATGACTGAACTTTATGTAATAGTAGGAAAACTCACAACCTGTTCTTTTGGCACAACAGAGCTGGGAGTTTTGTTTTGTGTGGCTACATTGAAGAATTGGGAAATTCTCCTGTAACTCTGATCTCTTATCAATAGGAGAAACTGTTTCTAATGACAGCAGAACCACACGTCAGTGAAATCACCAACAGAATACTCATTTCTTGATATTTTCATGTGGATCAGAGTGTTTTTATCCATTAGCAATCTTATGTATTGTGTGTGAGTAAACTTAGGCTGAGCAATAAGCTAGAGTTAATCTCTTATTTTTCTTTCCAAGAAAAAAGTCGAAGTTGGAAGGTCTTATTTAGCCAGGTAAGGACATTCAATTTAATCACGAATGCAATGGAAGATTATTAAATTTTCCTAAGAGTCTGGCGTCTTCAGAAATAACTGGTGAATGAATGATCTGTGTAATGTGTGCTATGTGTTAGGCTGGGAATCCTAAACATGGTCTCTCCTCAATAGAGATAGGAAGTCCTGAGAAACGGCTCCAGGGTGACTCAATGGTATTAGAAGTGAGAGTAGAAAGGCAAGATTAGTTGAGACAGCTGTTGCTAAGGAATTGACACTTCACTGAAAAATGATGAACATACTAGAATGCAAACCTCCCGAGAACACAGATCTTGTCTGTCTTTTCTCTGGTCCTCAGGCATAGAATTATGCCTGGTCCGTATAGGCACTTGGTGAGAGCTACATGAGTTAAGATACAAGCAAGTGAATGCAATGGAGTGTAGTCGGTGATGAGATAGAGGCAGAAAACAAGACTTCCTGGAAGAAGAGACATTTACATCTTGTCTGATGCATTTAGCTAGAATGTTACAGGAAACCATGAGCAATAAAGACACAAAAGCTGAGAGATGAGCCCAGGCTTTGAAGCATTATTAATAAAATCTTGGGGTGGGGCTGATGACCACAAGTTGCTATTGAAGGGCACTAAACCAGAAAGAAAAGAGTGAAAGATGGTGCTGAATGAACGCCTGGGCAGTAGTTTTGACTTATGAAAGATTTTATAATAACTGAGTTAACATGAAAGGGATTTTTACTATAAAACTAGGAATTAGGATTGGGGGGCATGGATCGAGGGGTACCTGTGTAGCAAGCACAAAACCTTGAGTTCCTCTGTACCACCCAAAAAAGAAAAGAAAGGAAAGGAAATTAGAAATAGATGAAATGGGAGTGGAAAGCTTACTGAGAGTTTCTATATGTTCATCATCAAATAGTTGAGATTCGAGTCAATTGCAACAATGTGTAAAGAGGTGATGAAGGACTCGATTGAGAAAGTGATAACAGGAAGCAGTAATGGCAAAGCTTTGAGAAAATGTAGGTGTTAGAAAACAAATGACAGATTCAAGGTGTTGAAAGGGCAAAGTAGACAGCCGACTCAAGAATGAATTCCTTGCCAGGCACTGTTGGCTCACTCCTGTAATCCTAGCTACTGGGGGAGGGGGCTGAGATCTGAGGGACTATTATCTCCAATTGTAATTGTATCTCCAATTGTAATAATGTGTGTAGAATGTGTTGATTGAACTTGGAACTCTGGGGAATATCATGTTTAAGAATCGAGGTAAACTGGGTGCTGGTAGCTCATGCTAGTAATCTTAGCTATTCAAGAGAGGCTTATAGGGTCTGAGGACTGCACTTAGTCTGAACTTTAAGTCATCCCTGAGGCTTCAGGTAAGTATCCTATTCTTCATCTAGCCCTCCCTTCATCCTTCAGCATGGCTAATTGAAACTTCTCCATGTCGTGTGCCACAGTGCCTATGCATGAGACAATCAGAATCCCCACAGTGAAGCAAAGAGCACTCTCCTGGACTGTGTATTTTTTGCACTCAGGAATGATCCCTTCCTGCTTCTTGTCCCACTAAATCCAGCTGTAACGCCTGACCCATAACAATGGCTCAAATGCTTGTTCAGTTGCCCTGAGGCAAGAAAATGGAGAGGGGAAGATGCTTCAGAAAGTAGCAGCAGCCATACAAAGAAAGAGGTTTGAGCGTGTGCTGGACGATAGAACATGAGTGGTAGCTGATTGGTTCCACTGAATAGAAGAAGAGATAGCTTTCACCAGGTGCCAAGAGGAAAGAGGCTAAGACCACTAGGGGCAGTAGGGCAGAGAAGATCAAGGCAACTTTGGTGAAGATGATGATGGAGAAGACACAGAGGAAATCTAGTTGCCAGAGAAGTAAATGCACATTTTTGATACGAAGACCAAGATAACGTTTTACTCTAGTATGTGGCATTTCCCAAAGCTCTCTCAGATACTTGAAATTCTTTTCCTAGGCCAAGTCTTACACCCACGGGTGGCATTTTCTTGGCAGATGTGGGGGGATGCTTGTGTCTGGAGGCCTTTGCCTTTCTGCCAGGCTGCAGGCTGGCACCCAGGCCTGGGATTGGTAGTGACCAGGCCATTGGCAGCATCCAGGGAGACGTGACTCATGGCCAGGCTGTCAGCACTGTGAGAAGAGTAGCTGTACAACATCTGGAGGAAGGCGGACTTGGTGTTTGTCTCTTGCTTGTAAAGAATGACGTAGCATTTGGGGAAGAACATGCAGCACAGGATCCCATAGTTGGATATTAAAATGACGATAATCTCCACGGCAGGCAAATACTTGCCGAAGGTGGTAGCATACACCGGGATGAACGTGATCCAAGCTATGAAGTAAATGAGCATGCCAAATGTGATGAACTTGGCTTCGTTGTAATTCTCAGGGAGTTTCCGCCCTTTGAAGGCAAATATGAAGCAAATGAAAGCCAGAAGGGCAATGTAGCCCAGCATGGTGGCCAAGGCCAGAAGGGACCCCTCTTCACATTCCAGGATGATCACCCTGGGCAAGGAGACGTTTTCCTCCACAGCAGGTGCGGCCAGTACGAGCCAGAGGGTGCAGATGACAACTTGCACCCCGGTGCAGGAGACGATGATGGGGATGGGCTTATAGAGGCGCTTCAGGAGCTTCTGTAACTTGGGATCGAAACTGAACGCTAGTAAAATCTTCAGGGATTTCATCAGAATACAGGAGATGCAGAGAGTAAAGCTGACCCCAAAGAGCGTCTGCCTGGTTTTGCACGTGAAATCTTGCGGCTCCCCAATGAAAAAACCCGTGCTGGCAAAGTTGAGCAAATGGCAGAGGAGAATCACGTAGCACACCGTCAGTCCCCCAGACGATTTCACAACGGGTGTGTTCAGGTTTCTGGTGAATATTATTCCGATGGCCAGAACCAATGTGATCCCCAGCAGGGAAAGGGCCGCAAGCAGGATAGCCAGGGAATCGCTCCAGTCAAGGAATTCGACTTCCTTTTCAAAGCATGTGCTGCTCCTTACAGGAGCCCAGTGTGTCTCGTTGTTGCATAAGAGACAGTGATCCATGTCTAGAAGGCAGATGGGACTCAGTTACATGGAAAACACTTAAACCAGGTGATGGTCCACAGAACTACCAATGAGACTCTTCTGCAGTTCTGACTTGAAAACTGGTATAGGTTAAACGAGTTACTTATTTAAAAATACTAACTAACTAAATATTATACATACATGACCCCCAAGAAAGAAAGGTAAAAAGAAGGGAGGAGAAAGAGCAGAAGAGAGACAAAAAGTTAATTCTGTTATGAAATCTTTAGGACACCAAAAAATTCCTCAAAAAAAAAAAAAAAAAGCTGGCTTTGTTGAGAATTCTGCATTGACATCCACTATGTCGCATCCTCTATTATGAATTCGCCTGCAATCAAAAACACTGCCTCACTTTAAAAGTAGAACAGCACTTTCAAGCTTCATGGTATATGATTCCATGGATGCTTATTGAGATGTTGTGCCTGGGGTTGGAGCCTGTCATCCTGAGGGGCTGGGAATGGGGAGAGGAGACAGGCAAAGCCTCAGTAGCTCCGTCATCAGTCATTCACCCCACCCAGAATCAGCATAACTACTGCTCGGGTTCATCAGTAGCAGTGTGTGGGGCTCATGTTTACTAAAAATCTATGGGGAAAAATAAACTTTAATTATTCATCAACTGCCACTGATTATAATCGTATCTTACCTCACAGAAGGGAACTTGATGCATTCATGGAAATACGGTAAATTCAAATAATGTAACTCCTTAGAAAGGCAAAATCAAAGTTCAAAAAAGTAAACACCACGGAGAAAAACTTGAAAGGGGTGGGATGGAGTCTAGGGGAAAAGGATGGATGATCCTTAGATCTTAGCTTCCTGAGTAGCTAGGCTTACAGGAATGAGTCAATGATGCCTGGCTTTCCTCTTGCACTTTGTGTATTTTGCTCTGATCTTGTTAACTTGATAAAGACAGAGTAGACAATCAGTGACTAATACCTCAACTCTCTTGGTAGCTAGTCTCCTTGTCTCACAGCAACTTCTTATTGTGAGGGACTTAACTTTTACTTCCTTATAGGAATGTTATGATCTTCTGGGAACGGGTGCCTACCTCTTAATTCTTCTCTGAGTTTCTGTTATACTTGGTTTAGCTAACTCAACATTGATTGATATTCTTGTGCTCCCATTAGTATGTGTATACACACACACACACACACACACACACACACACACACATAGGGATAGATGTGTGGGACAAAAATAACAACAGAGTTATGTTTTTAAAATGGTTTCAAGGAATCATGCACGAAGGAACGGCATTCTTTCTTGGAAGTGAACTTATTTCTATGTCTCTAGTATTTAATGGGCATGTTGATAGAATCGAACAACTTCCAAGATTAAATGAAATTTCATGGAATTGAATCTAACAGGAGGTTGGGAAGCTTCCTTACCTGTCCCAATGAGAAAATAGAATTAGTGTACAGAACATCAGCTTAAGAGAAACTGGGCCAGGTGAGCTGCTGTCTGAGCTGTAATGACTTGAGTACCTGTCTGGTTGCTGTAGTGGTTTTCAGGACAGCTCGCACACTCATAGCAGCAGGTGTGTTGACTTCTTGTGGTTCTCTTCATTTGTCCAGGACTACATTCTTTGGAGCATTTAGACAGAATTTTCTATGTTCAAAGTGAAAAGAAATTCCAAATAGATTTTTTTAACTTCTATTTTCCCTATGCATTTCTTTTTTTTAAAGATTTAAAAAAAAACAAAGAATTATCCTTAATTTAAAGAAATATTGACTACACACTATCTTTGGCTTTTTTTTTTTTATAGGATTCAGTTTTGCCATTTTAAGAAATATGAATAATCTTAAAATATATAAATGCTGTGGAAATTGGTTCTTTCAGGCCATTTCCAGTGAGAGGAGAAAAGTGTCATGGTAGAATTACAGAAGGAAATGATGGCCTGGAAATTACAATCCCACACTGAATAAAGAGTTCCCCTATATAAGAACAACAGTAGGGATGGGAAGGTGGCTCAGTGGTAGAGTGCTTGCCTTGCATGCATGAGGGCCTGGGTTTGATTCCTCAACACCACATAAGCAGAAAAAGCCAGAAGTGGCACTGTGGCTCAAGTGGTAGAGTGCTAGCCTTGAGCTGAAGAGCTGAGGGACAATGCCCAGGCCCAGAGTTCAGGCCCCACAACTGACAAAAAATTAAATAAATAAATAAATAAAAGAACAACAGTAAAACAATGAACTTTTATACTTTTTAGAAAGTTCTTATCCATGGAGCATATCCAATCTACCTCTTAAACGCAAAAGCCCTCTGGAGTTTGGAGATTACAAATTCAAAGTGAGACCAATCAGCAAAGCTTTTCTTTTCCTGTTTTCCTCCCCTCCAAGCTATGTAGGAGTTAAACTGATTGGTCAAAAAGTTGAATTTCAGCAAGATTGAGTATAATGAATAGTGAGAGCCATAGGATTAAGGGTAAACTGCAAGAGGGTTACATTGTTGGCCCTGGAATTTAAGGAGGCAGGTGGGACCAGTGAATAGTTGAGAACTCTTTGGAAGTCCTGGGAGAGTCAAGGACATTTCTAGGTGAGATGACAACAGATCTCGTGCTGCAAAGCAGCTTGTAACAGAGTTACCTTAAGTTTCCTGAATTCATTTTTTGTTTCTTGGTTTGTTATGATGAAGAGATCATTCTGCAGGTCATATTCGGCCATCTTGGTAATAGTCATGTGGCCATCAGTCTCCTTCCAGAGGACCACATCATAGCCAGTGTTCAAGTCCCCATTAGTGTCAAAATGGAATGAATTTCTTCCATCGGTGAAGGTTACATTTTTCAAGGCAGCAAGCAACTGTAAAAATTAAAATGTAAGTGAACACTGAATATAAATATTATAAGTTAATCTTTTATCCTAATTATAATACTACCTTATTAAAATATGATTTAAAATGAAGGAAAAAAGGATTCTGTGTCACTGGTTGGGGAACATTTTAATATCTAGAAGAAAAATGAGTTCCATTTGTGTTCTAGGATCTCTGCCTGCCAAAGTTTTACTATGTGAAATCGAAGAGCAAGTTAGTTTCTATAGGTAATAGCTTCTTCTGACAATAAAATAGAAGTATAAAGTGTCTGTATTCATCCACATTGAAGAACTTTGGAATGGATTTTTTTGAGCACAGATTCCTGTGCCCTGATTCTGTTCCATTCTTCTTTAGTGGTTATCCTTGGTGGTTAGTTAGAATGACTGGGTTGTCTTAGTACATCTGCTGGTTCTGAAGTTTGTTTCAGTGGTTGAATGCATAGTAACACAAACCCTAAATTCTATTTTTAATTCAGTTCATAAAATGTTTTTTAACTTAAGAGGAAAGAATCAAAATAAAAACTATTTGTCTTACTACAGCATTTATATAGGAATTACCAGCATATGATAGCTCTACAATGAGAAAGATCCTACAGACAAATGAGGAGCTACACGGAGCTTATGTTCCAGAGAAGGAACACGAGTTGAAGGCAAGAAAACATGTTGCAGCTCTGGCCCTATCATTAACTTGATACATAAGCATGGGCAAATTAGTGTCCTCTGAATGCACTAATTATGGCCCATTTTACACATACATTTATGATTCTATGTAGATTTGTTGGGATAAAAATCCATGAAATGAGGCAGACCTTTTTTCTGATTTTATACTCTTCAGTTCCTTTGCAATGAATTCTTTGGGAGCAATTCATTTTTTGTCAATAGAATATAAAGAAGTTGCATTGTAAGGTAAATATATTAGTCAAAATGATCATGCCTCAAATGTCACTTTAGCAAAAATCCTTCTAATGAATGTAAACTACTTAAAAAAGGCAGATTATCAGATCTAGCATTTTTTCTAAGAAATGTAAATTAATTACTTTCAAAAGATAGATGATCAGATCTAGCATGGTAGAATTAGTAAAAAATGTTCTTTTAGAATTTTAAAAAGAAAAAGTGAAGGGAACAAAAATAAAGAATAGATAGTGTTCTCACTTCTTCCTATGTACTGTCCCTTCCTCAGACAATATACCCTTGTAAGCCATAGTAATTGTGTTCTTCATGGAGCATAGATTTCTCCCCTCTTCTATTTGAACTATAATCTCCACCTGTTTTTTTCCCCGTGCATTTAATTAGGTTTTACAGGGTAAGGCTTTGGCATTTATATTCTGTAAACAATGATGGCATTATATAAGGGAAATAAACTTGGACACTTTTATGCTTGTTTTTACAAGAAACAGGACAGAGGCACATAAGACAACAAACTCATTAAATATAGTAGAACTTTTGCTTTGGTTAAGGCAAAATTTGAACATCACCTAATTATTAGGCTATTACTTTTTTTTTTTTTGTCGGTCTTGGGGCTTGAACTCTGGGCCTGGGCGCTGTCCCTCAGCTCTTCAGCTCAAGGCGAGCACTCTATCGCTTGAACCACAGCACCACTTCCGGTTTTCTGGTGGTTTATTGGAAATAAGAGTTTAACGGACTTTCCTGTGCGGGCTGGCTTTGAACAGGATCCTCAGATCTCAACCTCCTGAGTAGCTAGGATTACAGGTGTGAGCCACCGGCGCCCAGCAAAGCTATTACTTTTTAATCCATTATTTACTTTTTTAGAGAAGACCCTGAACTTCTTTATCAGTTCAATTACAAAATTTTTGAGACTGAGATTTGCATTTCAATTATTATATAACCTATCTCTGGATGATGATACCATGTTTTTAAGAACAAAATCCAAGAGGCCATACTAGTTAAGGTGTTATGTCAGAGGAATACTGAGAGTCAAGTTGTACAGTAGTTTGGAGATGACTGAAAAATAAAGATGTGTCCCATATGACTCACATGGTTAGTTCATATGTTCTCTGTGAAACCGCAGAAACCTTCATTAAAGAAAAAGACATAGCATGGGCAGGACAAAGTAGTGAGGCCTTTCAATCTCTTGCTCTCTAATTAGGCCGCCTATGTACTTCTTTCTATAAACAAGTTCATGGAAATGCAGCTGAATAAAACAAATGTGACTGTGCTATTCCCCAAATACTACTATCACCAAGTATAGAGCCAAAATAAATACTATTCTCAAATACAAGGAAAAAATGAACCCCTTTCAAATTGTTTGAACCCCTTTGAATTGTTAAAATCATTCAGAACGTATTGCTTAAATATTAGCAAATTTTGCTAGGGACAGAGTGATTTTAAGTATACATTCCTGGTTAAAGATCCTAAATGCTGCTGCTTCTTAAAATTTAGTGTTGTTTGAAGACTTTTTCATAAAAAGGCCATTGTTTGCTTCATGTATCCTACTGAATCTGGCACTGATGGGATATGGCTCACTTGCATCCTGATCAAAGGAGCAAGTCACTCACTACTTCTCCATTCCAATCTGTGTCTGTTGGTTTCTAGATTAACAGGTTCTCAGGGGCATGAAGAATGACCCTAGGCTCCCCGTGTTTGAATACAGCATTTTAGAATGTTTAGAGTAGACTTTCTCAAGTTGTTTCTTCAGAATGTTTGAGACATATCCCTTATTTTAAACACTTTCCCAGATCTTTCATGGGTTTCTCTTCCTGTTTCCATTTCCCCCCCCATGATTTTGTTTTGTGTTTTTGTATATCCTTACTTCTTTATCTCCTCTGTCTCTGTAGTTATTCTTCCTCTCTTCAGTCTCTCATCCCTAAAATTATAGGTAGTGGTATTACTACCAAAATAAAAGCCTATTTCTTTTCCCCCAGGCCTACTTCTTTTTGTAAAGTGGTTTTCGTGTGTGTGTGTGTGTGTGTGTGTGTGTGTGTGTGTGTGTGTGTGTGTGTGTATGTGTGTATGATACATAAGACCCAAACTACTGAAATGCACTAGAAAATGACACACTAAGAAGAGTGCCTTGTATCTCATACCAGTAATCCTAGTTAATCATGAGGCCAAGCCCTGGAGGACTGCAGCCTAAGGACAATCCAGGCAGAAAAGTTCACTATACTCAATCTCCAAAATAACCCAGCAAAAAATAGGACTGTTAGTCAAATGGTAGCGTGCTAGCACAATTATGAGGCTCTGAGTTTAAACCTCAGTAAAACACACACACACACACACACACACACACACAGAAAATGTTATACTGAACGTAGAGTATACTGAAGACTAGTTATAGAGAAGAATAGCAATCCAAAAGTGGTAATTTATAATTTTCTCAACTCCCTCTTTAAAGTTACACTAAAAAGGGAAACTTTCAAATAGACATTTAATAATCATCAAATAAAAGAAGGTTTAATTGAGGCTGGGAAGGTGGCTTAGTGGTAGAGTGCTTGCCTTGCATGCATGAGGCCCTGGGTTCAATTCCTCAGTACCACATAAGCAGAAATAAGCTGGAAGTGGTGCTGTGGCTCGAGTGGTAGAGCACTAGCCTTGAGCTGAAGAACTGAAGGACAGTGCCCAGGCCTAGAGTCCAGGCCCCATGACTGACCAAAAAAAAAAAAAAAGAAAAAGAAAGAAAGAAAGAAAAGAAAAGAAAAAAGAAGGTGTAATGGCCACAGTACTTAGGAGGTTTGTGAGTTTGGGGCTCACCTGGACTATGTAGCAAGCCCCTGCTAAAAAAAAGACAAATAAACAGATAATAAATAAACAAAAATCACTGGACATATAAATCTAAGAGCGTTTTAGTTTTTAAATAAAGCCCCATTCGTTGTTGGGCATTGGTAGTTCATGCCTCCAATTCTAGCTACTCAGGAGGTTGAGATGTCAGGATTATGGTTTGAAGCCAGCCTGGACAAGAAAATCTGTGAGACTCTTATCTAAAATTAAGCATCACAGAGTTGGAAGTAGAGCTATGGCTCTAGTGGTTGAGCACTAGCCTTGAGCAAAAATGCTCAAGGATAGCACCCAGATCCTGAGTTTAACCCCAAGGACTGGCACACAAAAAGATCATTAGTCTTCCATCTCTATTAGACTTTGGGCTTTGCATTTACAAGTTGAAAAATGGGTAATATATGCTCATTGAATATATGCAATAATCATGTTAGTTACAAATGAAAATAAATTAACTTGAAAACAAGCAATTTATACCACATGATCCATCCAGATGTCAGCTTGTTTCCTCTTACCTTGGAGTTTATGTTGTTGGGTAATTAAATTACAAATGAGAGAGGCTGAGGACATAGCTTAGTGACAGAGCATACATTTTGATGTATAAAGTCCTGGGTTCGGAATTCTCAGCATGCACACACACACACACACACACACACACACACACACAGCAAAAACATTAGAAGTAGAAATATCCTGTCCATATATGCAGTTATCTGATCATTTATAAATATGAAATATATGTGCTTTGTAATTCCATTCTGCCTCAAGATATCCAAATTTGGTTTTGAATACACACATTATGAAAAACTTCTTTCTTCTGAGTTAAAACTTGCCACCATTTAAATAAGCAGTTTACTTTTAATTGCTTTGTGCATAGGCACGTAAGAAAATACAGTAAAAAATCTCTCACTAAATAGAGCTATATTAAGCTTGGAAGTTTCACTACATTTATTAGGGAATAAAGGAAAACACTTTCTTAAAGGCACAGTTGTGGATTCATTTAAATCTAAAGTGATATAATTGACCTAACAGTGTTCATTTTAAGAAGTCCTAGGAATTTAGTAAGAGAGTCTAACTGGCAGTGTTGAGATTCGAACAACAAAGGCTGTGTTATCCACACTGGTATCATGTTTAGGGAACTTCCTTCCCTCAGTTTCCACATCCATTACACAGGTTGGACATCTCTAATCCAAAACTTTGAGAGTCAAGGTGCTATAGAATCTGGAAGGTTTTGCATAACAGCATGAAGCTACATGTGGGAAATTCCTCACAGTCATATGGCAGGGGCATGTAGAAGTACTCTGCATGAAATATGGAAGCAAAAATGAATTTTGGGTATAGACACAAGTCCTAGCTCTCAGAAATCTCATCCTATGTATGCAGATAGTTCAAAATCTGAAAAATCCAAAATCTGAAACAATTTCCATATCAAACGTGTCAGCTGTGTTTAGTGATAAAAAAAGAATAATTCATGCATTCTAATGCTTATTCACAACATTAAACATGAGTTTATATGACATGTGTGATATGTACAAACTCAATGAAGATAGTACTATCAAAAGAATCTTCTTGGAAAATGAAAGAATAAAACTTCCTTGAGTCAGACAAGAAGGAATTGAAGGTAAAATAGAATTCTATTATCTTAAAAAATGAAGAACTATGATAGACATGCTGGTTATTCAAACAATGAGTTTCTACTTAGAAAAACACTAAGAGCAGATAATATAAATCTTTGTGAGAATAAAGCAAAGAAGGCGATAGGGAGATGATGACAAGGAGTTTTCTTGGATCTATGGGTTAGTACCTCCCATGTCTGAAAGGCGTTGGGTTTCTGGCAGTCTCGAACTTGACACAGATCTCGAACAGCATAACCAAGAGCAAGCACTGCAAGCTGAACGCTATGAATGAGTCCTGGCTCAGTATAATGCCAGAGGAAGTCATTTTTCATGAAGTTCCTTTCCATAGCCTTGTTAGCCTTGTAGGTCAAATTCTCCTGAGGATGGTTGGATATGCACTTACTCAATTCACTGTTATTGACATGCTCACAAGCAGAAATGAGCATGGCGTATTCACGGAGGGGTTTGTTATTAATGTGGGGATATTTGTGCAGAGTTTGAAGAAAGGAATGGAAAGAGGACAAATTCCCTCTTGTGAAGGTAAAACCCACTACTTTGCCAATCTTTTGGACATTGGGAATGGTGATGATCTTGGTGGCAGTCGACCAGTTGTCACTAGCAATCCAGACCTTATTAATATTCCTTTCAATGGCTTGATTGAAGAGACTGAAAACATGGAATTTTCTCAGAAACACCACAATCACATTAACCTTGGCTTCTGCAATGATTGTCTCAAGTGTCTGGTTGACCCTGACTTGGATGGTATTGTCCGAGAGGAAGGCTGGGAAAACTTCTTTGAAGGCAATGCACACATTATTTGCTGCAGCCTGAATGGTGAAAGTGTGGAGAGCCAATCGCCCATAGTCATCATCTGTAGTTATGATGCCAATCCAGTTCCATCCAGACTTCTGAATCAGGTGCGCCATCGCTTTAGTTTGATAGAAATCACTAGGCACAGTCCGTAAAAATGAAGGAAAGCGGACTTTATCACTTAAGATTTCCACAGTTGATCCATAACTCACCTGGAAATGAACAAAGTCTTTTAGTTATGGTGTTTGATGGGGTCCAGGGGGCTACTGGAGGTAGGTGCTCCTCTCTTTGATTTTTGAAACCCTCTGGTCTTTTCTGTCTTACACTCGCCATAGATTTCTACTTTATAAATACTTTTAATTATGATAGCATCAAGGATGCTTGGAGTTACTGCTTTCTGATAATTTCATATTGTATAATAGAAGTTCTCGGAAAGTTCAGACTCTATCTTACATCTCCATTTACACCACTGTATCTGTCTAAAATCTCTGGCAAGGGCTAAGAGTGGAAACAATTTAGTTTTAATTTTAGAGATAAATATAGGCTGAATGAAGTCAATAGGGTGAAGAACATATATTTTGGGATGCCAGAACATACAAAATCAAATTTAATTCACAATATTGGTCATTTTCTTCTAGGTAAAATTATCCAAAAAATTTTTCCATAAAGAACCAAAAATAATATATTTTAAACTTGGTGCCTACCTAGGGTCTACATCTCTATCTACCTAGAGCATTTCCATCATATTCAGAAGCAAATAATCCATGCCACATCTTATAAAATCCAAAATGACTGTGCTTTTACCTGTCTACAAATGTATCTCTTAATAGTTTTCCTTCTGCTCCAGCTAATCTAATGATAATGACCTTGTTGCTATTCTACTTTTGCACTGGATGCTTCCTCCAACAAGTAGATCAAATTCTTTCTTCCACTTGCCCAAATTTCCTTAGTATTGTTTCTCATTTAAGTTTGATGCTAAATATCACTGCCTTGAGAAGTTCCATTTGGTACCTAAATCCTCTGATTCATTGCTCTCTTCAAAACTGGACTGATGTAATGAAGAAAACAGAAGAGTTGGCCACTTCAGAGATGCGAATCGTATCCAAATCAAGCTAGAACAGTCAGAACTACACTTGACTAATGTACAAATTAGTCTCTTACTAATTTTTCCAGCTTTTCTGGATGTCTTCTCCAGCTTTCCTGGATTTTTAAAAATAATAATGAATAGGATTAAAAGCCAATGTATAGAAATAAGACAAAACCCACCTGTGGCATGAGCTGTAAGTTTAACATCCTGGAGACAGCCATGGTTATCTCTGAGTATCCAGCGCCTATGACAGCCTTAACCCTTGGCATGTAGCTGGAATAGTCACACTGAAACTCCACGGTTTCTCTAGAGCAGTTGAATTTAGAAAGAAACCTTAAGGTGGCTGCCATTGCAGCTGTGACTTCTGTACAAGTGTCATAGATTTCATAGCCCAGTTTGACTCCAGGTAACAGTGTTGAATTATTGATCATCTCGATGCTGTGGATCATGGCAAGAGTCTGAAGAAAGACTGATATTTCAAAGCTGTTGAGAAAACAGTATTTTTTAAAATAAAAAAGTAATTATTTTATTGATGTGATGGTACTTCATCTTACCTCTATCTCTAGCTAAAACTATTTTTGGATAAGTTAAGCTTATTTTTTTTTTTTAAATTTCATTTAAGCTTATTTTTTAAAGTGCAGAAACTTTGAGAACTATTATTGATGGAAACTTTTAATGTTAGAAAGCAGATTCCTTCCTTCCTTCCTTCCTTGCTTCCTTGCTTGCTTGCTTGCTTCCTTCCTTCCTTCCTTCCTTCCTTCCTTCCTTCTCCTTCCTTCCTTCCTTTCCTTCCTTCTTTGTCTAGTGGTGGTGGTCTATCGTGATGTTTAACCTCAAGGCCTCATGTTCTTGCTTGGTTTTTTTTTTTTTTCCTTTTAGCTCAAGGCAGCATTCTACTGCTTGAGCCACATTTCCAGTTCTAGTTTTTGCTGATTAATTAGATAGAAGAATCTCATGGATTTGTCTCATGGGTTGTGAGGCTCAGATCTCAGTCTCCTGAATAGCTAGGATTATAAGTATGAATCACTGCTGCCTAGCTAGAAAGTAGTTCCTGAAGTGTAGTCTATTATACAGGATTTAACCTTTTCTGGAGAAGTCTGAGATCATTTCACACATTTGGTTTAATATTCTGTAATATGAGATGTGTCTGATTTTTGTTCACTCTTGTAGCTAGATGAGAGCAATTTATTACAATCAAAGTACTTGCTTCTTAGACTGAAAGTACATTTTTGTTAACTCTCTAATGGTTATGGTTGGAAGGCAGAAATACAAGTATTAAGAGTTATCCTTAGGCAAGGTGCACTGGTTTAATTCACAGACACCACAGCATTTCTATAGTCAGTGGCCATTTCCAATGTTTTTCTTAATTTGTGATTATTCACAGACCTGACTTGTTTAACACTGCATTTCCTCTCTACTACTGTGATGAAAAGATTACAAATATATAGCGCCTAGTGTGCAAGAGACGTTTAATTCATGGTTTTGAAATGAAGAAAAGGGGATATTACTGTTTAGGGTTTTGATATTCCACAGTTTCCTTATAATTCATGAAGTTAGGATAAACTCTTTGGAAAATATTTGTTTTCACCGTGGACAATCTAAATATGATTTGGAAAAATCAGCACTAAAATTTCCATTTGCAAAAAGAACCAAGGAAAGGAGCTGGGAAGGTGGCTCAGTGGTAGAGTGCTTGCCTTGCATGCCTGAGGCCCTGGGTTCGATTCCTCAGCACTACATAAGCAAAAAGCCAGAAGTGGCGCTGTGGCTCAAGTGGTAGAGTGCTAGCCTTGAGCTGAAGAGCTGAGGGACAGCGCCCAGGCCCAGAGTTCAGGCCCCACGACCAGACAAAAAAAAAAAAAAAAAAAGAACCAAGGAAAGAAAAGGTAAACCAACATATTACCTCAATTAAAATTGGTAACCTTATCAGTGACCTCTGCATGTTAGCTCGACAATATGTATTTATTTATGTATTTACTTTGGTTTTCTTGGTACTTAGAACACAACCCAGGTAATGTAGGTTCTTAGAAAGTTCTTGTTCATTGTTAAATGAAAAATCTTTCTCTTTTTGGCTGACAACGAGCCAATATATTTTCTTTAAAAATTTTTAATGTGTTTTAATTGTAATGGGTTGCAGTTACATAAGTCAGATAAACAGAACATTTCTTTTCGAACAATGTCACCCTTTCCTTTGCTCTCTCCCAGCTTTTCCTGTTTGTCCCAATCCACAAGTTGTATAGTTCATTTTCAGCGTAGTGTCTAGTGAGTACCAATGCTGCATTTGTTCACCCTGTCTCCTACCATTTCTGTGCCCCTCCTTATCCTCACGAAGACAGATAAACAAACAAGACAAAAGGAAAAGAAGATAAAAAGAACAACAAAAAACCTCTTTAGGCAATATTCCTTCCTTCCTTCCTTTCTTCCTTCCTTCCTTCCTTCCTTCCTTCCTCTCTCTCTCTCTTTCTTTCTTTTTTTTCTTTCTCTCTCTCTTTCTTTCTCCTTCCTTCCTTCCTTCCTTCCTTCCTTCCTTCCTTCCTTCCTTCCTTCCTTCCTTCCTTCCTTCCTTCCTTCCTTCCTTTCTTTCTTTCTTTCTTTCTTTCTTTCTGTCCTTCCTTCTTTTTCTTTTGTTGGTCATGGGGCTTGAACTCTGGGCCTGAGCGCCATTCTCAGCGTGAGGGACAGGCGTGAGCCACCAGTGCTTCTAGGCAATATATTTTCTATTTAGTAAATTTTCCTCTGGAAGAAAATTTATCAGACCAAAATATTCTTTAGTATTTTCTATTAATTGTTAGCTTATAATTATGTGGATCTCTAATCTGTAGACTGAATATCAATGCAGCACTCTGAAAATCCTTACTAATAATTACATGCCTATCCCTTAGTATTCCTGCTAATCATTGATTCTGATGACAATAGCTCAAAGCACCCAGCTTTGGGGAAAATATGAAGAAGGAATCATAGAATGATTTTTTTTTATCAGAAAGTATTCTTAAATGGTCTAGTAAATAATTTTTTGATAAAGAAATAAAAGGAGCCTAATAACTACCTCCCTCTTCCTACAAAAGAAAGACATTTTGTAAAGGGGAGTTGAGTGTGGTGGTTCCTACCTGTAATTTCGCACTTGGGAGGCTGATGCAGGAGGCTTGAAAGTTTGAGATTAGCCTAGGCTACTTAGCAAGACAAAGAAAAAAAGGACTAGGCACCAGTGGCTCATGCCACTAGCTACTCAAGAGGCTGAGATCTGAGGATCACGGTTCAAAGCCAGCCCAGGCAGGAAAGTCCATGAGACTCTTATCTCCAACTAACCACCAGAAAACTGGAAGTGGTGCTGTGGCTGAAGCAGTAGAGTGCTTATATTGAGCTGAAGAGCTGAAGAGAGCGCCCAAGCCCAGAGTTCAAGCCCCACGACCCCCACCATCACCACCACCAACAACAAAAGGAAGGAAGTGATGGAGGGAAGGAGGAGGGAAAAAGAAAGAAAAGACTAAAGGAAGAAATGAAGAAAGAGGGGTAAAAGAAGAGAGGAAGGAAGAAGGGAAAGGGAAAAGAAAAGACAGCTAGGAGAAAATAAGATATTAAATTTATAATCAAAAGCAGAATTTTAGAAAGAAGCTTAGTGTGACATTGCCAGGGTCCTTGAAGCTGCTGCCACCTCCTACATCAACAGACATTCTCCACACCCTAGTTCTAGAGACAGGAATGTGGAAAATGGAAGCTGAAGAATTGCAAAATTAATGTCCTAAAACTGGAATTAGAACTCAAATACTCCTTTGTGACAGCCACCAACTCAGCTTTACTTTCCCCAAATTCCATTATGCCAAATGTCATTTTGCACAATTAAGACTCACAGCACAACCTGATCATCAAGAAAGAAGGGACATATAAGATCATAACTTGTCATCTAAGATCTGGATTATTTTAAGATTGGAATAAATACAAAAAAGTGTTAGTATGGGAAAAATGAAATGTATTCTGTTGTAAATAAAGCATTAAATAGGAGGCCTAAATTAACAACAAAGTACCTGCTGTGAGTGATAAAAAGGTAAATGATTGTGTGAGATGCAGGATAAGCTACTGGGTCTGCTCAGGTGTCTTCCGAGACTTTTTTTTAAAAGCACAATCCAAGAAGTACATTAATGTAGTTTTCCTTGCCTCTGCACTTAAGGCTGATTAAACTCCCTTTCTAAGGATTGTGAGACCAATCTTGAAAAGTATATGTTTCTTTTGTATGTTCTTCCCTTCTGTGGTATAGCCTCTGTTGTTACTGTATTTGATTATGGTACCCTGGTATTGTATATGTACTTAGTAGAATTAGGGAAGGGAAGGGGAACAACAGAATGGTGAGACAAAGGACAAGGGGGAACCAATGCAACAGAGATATTCACAAGACAATATGTCAGAAACGATCTGTACAACTTGGGGGTGGGGGTGGGGGAAAGTAGGAGAAAAATGAGGGAAGGGGAATGTTTGACAAGAAATGTACTTATTACCTTACTTACGTAACTGTAACCCCTCTGTATGTCACCTTGACAATACAAAAAAAGAAAAAGAAAAAAAGTACATGAGTTCAAATTGATCGAACAACTTAGATCTTAACACAAGGAAATGGTTAACAGGTTCTAGCCTTTCAGCATAAGCTGGAGTCTGGAGGCTCGACTCACCCAGCACACTTCTGAATTTGTGGTCGTCTGGGATGATCTTCTGAGGACAACATTTTCTCATGAATGGCAAACAAACCTCCAATCATGACATGTCCCGGAGAAGCCACAGCCACAAAGTCATCAGGAGTCTGGCAAGGTTGAGAAGTAGCAAGAATAATCCCAAAGCAGGTAATTACTATAATTAATAGTGCCATGTTTCTGTCTTATCTACTCAGTTCATGGATGGTCTCTGGAATCACTAAGCTCATGGAGGCCAACAAGGTTCATGTTTCCCCTAAACACCTTGTAAGGTACTTAGGGCCAGCAGTGCTCATTGTGAAGTTGCTTGATGATAGTAACAACAGTTCTTTCACCAATAGGAATGTGGTAGACTGCCAAACATTCTCCAGTGTTATAGACTTGTAAAAGTGGATATGTCACAGCTAGGTAAAAGCAGGTATCCTAAACACAGGTCTCACTGTAATCATATTCTTTTCCTCCAGGGATAGGACATGGGCTTTGAGTCATGTTGGCATTTCTTCTGACCTTTCTTTCTGGATCTTCAGGAGGTAGCAATTTGGAAAAAAAATTCTCCCACTTCTGCATTTCTAAACATATATTCAGTGCACAAAGGATTCAAGATAGTTGATTGGCTGTTTAGAACAAAAAGAAAAAAGACTCTGCTTTTATTTCCTTAGACAACTTTTACCTTTTTTTTTTTTTTTTAAAGCAAGACTCATTTGAGTTTGTATTATTCCCATTTTACATGGGTTAATGACAAATAGCTTTTGTGGTAATAGGTGAAACTAAAACAAGAAGAAAAAGCCAGTCTGATAGAGTGCTTTGTTTTGAACCAGGGAAGTCTATCGTGGGTCACTGACATTTCCAACATTGTTGGGCCACTTATTTGGATACATTTTTGATTAGTTTCAGGCTATGTGTTCCTAGATGTTAGGCATCTGAACTAATATGACTTGACTGGTACTTTTGGAATTTAACAGAGGCTAGATAAACCTCATACATTTAGTCACCATTAAAGAAAAGTTGAAAGTTTAAAAATTAACTTTTCAAGACCAATGCCTTAAAAATATGTGAAATAAACGGAATCTCTCACAGGATTTCATGTTCAAATCCAATACTTCTAATTTAATAGGTAGCAGACACATTTAAAGGATTTTTTTTTAAGATAGAAAAGTATAGTGGCCACTGTGGTATATGTAGTTATTCAACTTAGTATTAAATTTCATAACTCATATGTTATCCCAACTGCCGAGTGAAGTTACAGGTCATTACATTGCATCAGTTATGTTCTTAAACTTAACTAGGATTTCTAGTAGAATACAATCCAATTAACTTTAATAGTCCAGAAAGCTCAATGAGCATCAATAAGTTTGAAGACTTTTCAAATGTTTAGCAATTGCATTTTACTTTTCTTGTTTTTTCCATATCTATGTATGTATGAATGTATATATGTATGTAAGTGTGCATGCACAATTGGATAGACATATTTTTATTTAGTTATTTTGTTCAGATAACCTCAAAGGTCTTGTAAAATTGTAAGTTCAAAGATGACTCTGAAGCCCAAGAGCAGTGACTCATACTCACACTCCCAAGTACATGGGAGGCAGGTATCAGGACAGGCTGATGGAAAGTTACCAACACCTCAACTCACCCAGCAAGCTACATGTGGTGGTTCAGCTACATAGGAGTCAGTAAGAAGGAGGATCACAATCTGAATATAATACCTACCTGAAAAATAACTACTGCATAAAAGGTCTAGGGATGTGTCTCAAGTGGTAAACACCTGCCTAGCAAATGTGAGGCCTTGAGTTCAAAACCCAGCACCATGAACATAAAAAGTCCAACAAAGATGATTTTGCTAAGACTGTTCTAACTATATAATATATACTAAGCAAATATGAACAGTTCTAAAAGTGTGTTGTTCATGGTGGACATTTATTTGAAAACTCAGCAAGAAAAGTTTCTCCAACAATTTCTCTTAGGTTACTATTTTAATCATATTTAGAGTTTTTAAAACTATGAGAAGCCGGGTGCTGTTGGCTCACACTTGTAATCCAGCTACTCAGGAGGCTGAGATCTGAGGATCACGATTCAAAGCCAGCCTGAGCTGAAGAGATGAGGGACAGTGCCCAGCTCTGGAGTTCAAGCCTCATGACTGACAAAAACAAAACCAAAACAAAAAAACTATGAGAAAACATAAAGATAAAGCAAATTTCCTTATTTTAACAAAGATAATTCATCCTTCAAGATTTGTTTCTATAAAGGTGCTTCTGATAGTATGAAGACAAAGGCTTCCCCACCCCCCTTCCTCCCTATACAAGGGGCAGAAAGGCTGCAAGTTATGTTAGGTGTCTGAACAATGATTTTCTCATCTATGATAATTAAGATGTTCTATTTAATGAGTATCAATAATTAGCTCTTTACTTTTCCTTCCCAAATGAAACTGAAAATTACTAATTTCAAATTTAAAGCACTCCCTAACTTTGATTTTTCTCAAGAATCTTAAACGCATTCCAGAAAAAGATTTTCTTTTGTATTAACTCCATGACATGATTAAAATTTAAGTCTGAAGGAAGATAGTCTATGAATCACTTCAAAATTCTATTGGATATTATTTTGGCTGTTGTAGTTACTTGTTTCCTCTGCTTTAAAAATTACTACTATTATTTATTATTATCTTTAAGTAGTTGTACAAAGGAGTTGCAATATGACAAAGCAGATTATGAATACAATGTATCTTGGTCAGGTCACTCCTGTGAACGTTCTCACCTCTCCCCCTAACCACCTTATCATTCTTAATTTTAACTCCTTAGCCATTATTTAAAACCTGTAGCTACTTCATGTTTTCTGCTACTTAAAATGCACACAGCACCAATAATAATTTCTTTTTTTTTCTTTCTTCCAGTCCTGGGGCTTGAACTAGGGGCTGGACCATCATCCCTGAGCTCTTTTTGCTCAAGGCTAGTACTCTATCACTTTGAGCCATAGCACCTCTGCCAGTGTTCTGGTGGATAACTAGAAGTAAGAATCTTGTAGACTTTCCTGCCCTGGCTGGAAATCCTCACATCCTGCAATCCTCACATCTCAGCCTCCTGAGCAGCTAAGATTAAAGGCATAAGCTACAAGCACCTGGCTAACTATTCCTATTCCTAAAGAATATGACTTTTTACCTTGAACAACTGTTTCTGAAAGATAAAAGTTCTTGCAGGTATGAGTTAACAGTGAGACTAGCTTGACCATTCCTTTGATCTCAAGGTTCTGTGTCTTTGTCCTGATCTTTATGTGATAAGATATAGCATTAATATTACTTAAAGAGAATGGCATGTCGATGGGAAATCACTATCCAAGCTATCCTTATAGAGATATCATTGGCCTGCTTGGAGTGATCTAAAAAGAAAGAATACTCACTGATTGAATATACTTTATTCTAACACAGTGAAGATTAGGTGAGGGTTAAGATTTCTTGCAGAAATCTTCAGATAGGAGTTAACAATGAGACTAGCTTGACCATTTCTTTGATCTCAAGTTTCTAAAAGTGGAACTTGAGAGCCAAAGGCACAGAATACAGCAGCAGCACGTAAGGCAGCCTGCAAGCAAGTCACCAGCACAAAGGTTGGGAGAGGTACAGCATCACAGTGCTCATGGGAAACATGGAATAGATGGCTGCCTGTTCCACCCCCACACAGTGCCAGCCTGACCAGGCAGGTGAGAGTTCCCACTGAGAATGAACCAAGAAGCTGACACCAGTGTTATGAAAGTAGCTGCCAAGACCCACAGCCTAGAGGGGAAATAAACAGAGCTGAAGAATCAGCTCTGACTCACTGTTTCACGTTGTCAATCTTCTCCATTTTTTTTCCCAAACCTGTACAAACAAAAATATATTTAGCTTAAAACAAGCAGGTATTCAAAGCACAGCACCACAACTACATTTTATTTGATCAACAATACATGTGGGCGCATTTTTTCCATTTGTGATGCATTTCTCTTCCACAATCATCTTTATTACGATATCACAACAGGTGAGATTTTTTTTTTTTTGATCCTGAAGAGCACAACCTTAGGCACTGAGTCAGGAATGCATGATTAGGCATTTCCAAATTACTTCTTTTGTGCCAATACCTTACATGTTCATTTGCTCCTACTATTATTTTTTTAAATTTTAATGTGCAATATATTGCCTGTTCAACTGAATATTAGCATTCTGAGATAAGGATTTTGTATGTTGCAGATCTTGTAGTACATTGTTTTACAAATGCAATTATAGTTTTGTTGTTGTTGTTGGTCATGCGCCTTGAACTCTGGGCCTGGGTGCTGTTCCTCAGCTCTTTAGCTCAAGGCTAGCGCTCTACCACTTGAGCCACAGAACCACTTCTGGTTTTCTGGTGGTTTATTGGAGATAAGAGTCTCACCAACTTTCATGCCTGGTCTGGCTTTGAACCTCGATCCTCAGATCTCAGCCTCCTGAGTAGCTAGAATTACAGGTATGAGCCACCGACACCCGACAAGTATAGTTTTACGATGTATCATGAAATACATTTGAGTCCACCAAATATATTATGTACATTCCAAACACATGGCTCAGCTTAATTTTCATAACAAGTCAGCGATAAATTGACTTAGTACTAGGCAGGATGAGTCCCTTAAACCAAGCTACAATATCATTACATATGATCAGCATTTTACAGGTTATTGCTATTATTATTCATTCATAAAAATAAGAACATCACCTCATATAATTTGATCAGTAGTGAGTGCTAAAAGATACTGTACTATATTCCTCCCCCCACTGGAGAAATTTTTTTTATTTTTAAAAATTATCTTTTAGTTGTACAAAGGAATTGCCATTTAATAGATCCATATATGAATATAATATATCAATGATCAATGTCATCCCGTTCAACTTTCTCAACCTACCTCTTTCCTCATTCCTCTTAATTCTGTAGGATAAACCTTAGATTCTTGTCTGCATTTTCTTCCTCTTCTTTTCATTCATCTATACCTTGACCCAACCATACTCCTTTTGAGTACCTGCTTCCTGGGGATCCATTTTGCTGAACTTTGATTTTGGTTTTCCAGGGAATTAAACTATTTGAGATCTTCTTTGAATCTACAATATATTTGAATATACTTGCATACCATCCGATATATTTACTTACAACTTTGTAAGCTAAATCTAGCTTTCACATAAATCGTTTGTCTCTCTGGGCCTGACTTATTTCACTAA